CAAAGAAGTCCAACCACGACAAAGAAGGCCAACCACGGCAAAGAAGTCCAACCAAGACAAAGAAGAAGTCCAACCTCGACAAAGAAGAAGTCCAACCACGACAAAGAAGTCCAACCACGATAAAGAAGTCCAACCACGACAAAGAAGTCCAACCACGACAAAGAAGTCCAACCACGACAAAGAAGAAGTCCAACCACGACAAAGAAGAAGTCCAACCAAGACAAAGAAGTCCAACCACGACAAAGAAGTCCAACCACGACAAAGAAGAAGTCCAACCACGACAAAGAAGAAGTCCAGCACAACAAAGAAGTCCAACCACGACAAAGAAGGCCAACCACGTCTCACGACAAAGAAGTCCAACCACGACAAAGAAATCCAACCACGAAAAATAAGTCCAACCACGGCAAAGAAGTCCAACCCCGACAAAGAAGTCCAACCACGATAAAGAAGTCCAACCACGACAGAGAAGGCCTACCACGACAAAGAAGTCCAACCACGACAAAGACAGCCACGACAAACTTATAGCTTACAACGTCCATTCACGTCAAGTTAAACATTTAAAGCTTTATAAATAACTGCCAGATATCAATACCCTTTTTAGATCCCCTTTACATTGAGAATGCAGAAGATTGTAATAACATATTATAATATTACAAGGTAAAGGTTAATATTATTATAAAAAGTCATATAGTGATAACAATTACAAAAAAAGAAAACAAAAGCACCGTACCTTAACTAGATAAAGATATCTTAACTATTTTTACTAATCCAGTTAAACCAATGGTCAAAGTTAAACTGTCCGTAAATTGTCGAAGTGCGGACCGTTGCTAGTTGAGATAAATCATTTATGCAGTTCATCGTGACATTTCGCAAGGTAACAAAAAAAGAAAAAAAAAAAAAAAGAATAGAAGTTATCAGTGGAAATAGGATTAAACTGTCCGTAAATTGTCGAAGGGTGGACCGTTGCTAGTTGAGAAAAATCATTTATGCCGTTCATCGTGAAATTTCGCAAGGTAAAAAAAAAAAAAAAAAAAAAAAAAAGAATAGAAGTTATCAGTTGAAATAGGTCATCGGATCCAGACACCTCCCACCTCCCCCCCCCCACGTGTTAGATAAATGGCTTAGTCAATAGTTTACTCACTTTGTTGATCTGGATTGAGTGGTGTGTCAACTCGGCTGAGCGGGTGCCCCCGGGCGCACGTGGCGGAACCTCTCTCTCCTGTGTGACACATTTTTAAAAATAATTAATGTTTGGTCGATGTAGATCAAAGGAGACATTCACACAGTTAATTTAGTGACATGAGATTAAACTGTGGGATGGAGATATTCACACACAATTAATTTAGTGACATGAGATTAAATTGTGGGATGGAGATATTCACACAATTAATTTAGTGACATGAGATTAAACTGTGGGATGGAGATATTCACATAAATAATTATTATTATTAGTGACATGAGATTAAACTGTCGGATGGAGATATTCACACAATTAATTTAGTTAGAGGAAATTACACTTTTGAATGCTTCTCCGGGAAATATTTCCTTCACACACACACACACACACACAAAATAAATGAACAATAACAAAATAAATTTTTTAAAAAAATAATAAAAATGATAAACTGTAGTTGTAAACAAGAATAATTAATTGGACACATTTTGACAAAAGAAGATAAAAAATGGACATAAACACAACAAATAAAGATCACCTCCATTTCCAGGTGGACTTATTTTAGAGTGACCTTCCATCTTTGACCTTTGAATTACGCCAGCACTTTGCTGTTATCACCCTTGCTAGAACAAACTCTTGATGAACCTCGGTCACAAGTCGTGCGGCATTGTGAACTCGACTCTAAGAAAATCTTTATCTGCTCGACTTGGTGTAAGGACAGGACTTTTTGCTTAAAGTCTATAGGGTCAAACACAAAATAGGTTATTTGGTCAATTCAAAAATATATTGCTCAAAGTCAAATTTGATGTCTATATTCAATGAATATACAACACGTCGTTTGTCTGTCTGGAACTAACGCTCAGAGAGAGATAGAGAGAGAGAGAGAGAGAGAGATGGAGAGAGAGAGACAGGGAGAGAGAGGGAGAGAGAGAAATAGAAATCACGACCTATGAAACAGTGTTGTTATTGTTTTTTGTCTCCATGGTATTCAATTCCCTCCCTTAGTATTCAATTGCGTCCCCTAGTATTTAATTGCCTCCTTAGTATTCAATCGCCTGCCCTTTTAAAAGCGTTTTTCAACATTAACACATTCTAATTTTTAGCAAGAAAAACATTGTTAAGACGGCGTTGCATTCATAGAATAAGAAGTTGCATCTCCATTTATAATTACTAATACATTTCCTCCCTACATTTTCTCCAAATATTTCCTCCTTACAATTCCTCCCTACATTTTCTCCATATATTTCCTCCTTACAATTCCTCCCTACATTTAAATGATGCGTAACTCTTGTCCATTTAGATTGGCTGAAATCTAAATTAGTCAATTTATCGAAAAACGTAAGTCATTTTTGACATGTAAATAATATTACTTAGAGCGAGAAATCTTCTATCTAACTAATGTATATCCGAAGGTGAACTAAATAGGTTTCGTGACCCATGAGGAAGTACCGGTACACCAGTGAGTAAGTTAAAATACATGCAGCATGTTCTAAAACCGTACACTCTCAGCAAGAACATCTTCACCCTCAGCAAGAAAATCTTCACTCTCATTTAAAAAAAAAAACTTCTTAAAAAATATGTATTTCCTTTAAAAATAAAACAAAATTTTGAAAACGCACGTCAGGGGCATGAAAGAGGGGGGGGGGGTTACATATCTATAAGAGTGACAATATCTCAAAACTCAAAGATTGTTACGGGCGGGATATTGTTAATATAACTACTTTTTAAACAATAAATAAATATATGTTGTATATAATTCGTAAAAAAAAAAGAAGAAATTTCAGTTGCGAGGGAAAATAATAGGACCATTTTATTTTGATAACGGCGTCTCAAAAACCGATCAATTCACTGACGTAAAGACGTCAATCTCGGATACATATGTTTTTTTCCCCGCAATTTTCCAAAACCACAGTTCCGAAGTGTGAACCTATGGTGAGTACTGGGAAGGGGAAAATAAGGTTTAAGATTCATCTTTAACAATCAGAAAATACATAATTTATTTTCCATTTTCTGCAAAACTTAGTTAAGATTAAAGGAAATGAGCAGGGTCGAGTCTTGGAA